ATGTATATATACTATAAGATAATCCTATCTATTATAATTATATATATATGGATTGGCTGAAAAGTTCTACTCCATTTCACTAGTTGCGGGTAATTTTACTTGTCAGGTCAAGGAAATCGGGTAGAGTGCGGCATGTGATGCCTTATTTTTTAAGATAAGAGACCTGGGATCTAAGAGGACTACTTTCAGTGCCCTTTATTGTTTGGTTGTGAAGTGCATAGGGAACAAAGCTAGCGGGAGATAAACAATGCATATGTTGCATTGTTTGCTTGTAAAAATTTATGTGACACGTTGGGAAGTGAAGTTGTGAACTTTCGGAACTGCCAAAGAAAGTTTTGCAAATTTTGTTTCGGAGATTTCAGTAGCAATGACATTCTGCGGACCACGTTAGAAGCCAGCTTAGATATAAGCACTTTGTAGTTGCAAAGAAACTCGGCATGTACGACAGATTGGGAAGTGAAGTTGTAAATGTTCGGACCTACCAAACATGATTTGCCCACTTTCACTAAGGTGATTTCAGTGTTAAAGAAAAGTGTTGACGTGGGCGTTGATAACGACATTTCGCGGCCCACGTAGGAGAGCAGCCTAAATCTAAACACTGTGCCATTACAAAGGGACTCGACATCCACCATTCCACAAATTCCAATGTTCCAATAGAGCTTTCCCACCAACCCAATATTATATAACACGTATCGTATTGACAAATTTGAAAGAATAGATGAAAGTCGGTTGAAAATATGTTTGCGATGAGAAAAATAGTCATTCTCCTTGAAAGCATATCCTGTGAGATGTTTCAAGGATTTAGTACATCAAGATAATTGCTATGCCATCATCCTTCATTCTTCATTTGCAGCATATAAATAAAACTAATCAATTGATATTCGCAAAACGTTTTAATAGACATGAGAACGTGTTATAGAAACAATAAAAATTTTGATAAAACATTTTATGATAAGCTGTCTAACAAACAGTACGTAAGTGAAAAATAAATGAAATTATAAAAATGTCAACTGTGAGATGATTATTCCCATATGTTATCCATTACTCTCTACGAGTTTTAGATAGTTTTTCCTATTCTACCACTCCTGTCCCGGTTCTTTTTTTTCCTTCTTTTATATTTATGTCTGCCAAGGTTTCCCTATAAACTTTCATTTACACGTACATACATTTGACGCATTTGAATGTGTATGAAATGCTATAAGGAGACACACATACACATATAGAGATTTGTGCATACACTTTTGCTATTCACAAGAGTTGGTCCTACAAAATTTTCTTCTGCTTCAAGTTCGTTTATCATTTCTCGTTATATAAATGATTGTTAAGATTTCATTATATATAAAGGAGAGTAAATATGTTATATTTCTGTGTGTGCTCAAGTCATTATATTTTTAGTTATAAAGTCATAAATTTAATTTAATTTTTTTGCTTTTTTTGTTCCTCTTCAGTGTTAGGAAAGCACGAAAAATCATAAATCATAATATAATTTCCGTTTCCTTTGCACTCCGGAGATATTAAAATCCCCAAAAGCGAACAAAAAGCTTTAGTTAGGACAAATTTCCCAACAGTGACTGTCATTATAGCAGCCTAAAAGAAGCCTTCGTATGATTATTTCATTAAAGAATTGAAAGTACATTCTTTTCCATCTCTAATTATTTCATCAACACTCGTAAGCTTGGTTGATGGCTAATTTTATTCAAATTTTTCACAAGCTCGGTATAATGGAAAACAACTGTAAATTGTATGGAAGTAAAGCGTGCCCGTACGAAGGTTACGATAAGTTTCATACCTAGAAGAGAAAACCATTTTTCATTTTGAGATATTTCGAGGTCCAGGTCAAGCTATTCCGTTTATCTCTGGCAACCTTGCGACCTCGCTTCTCATGGCAGAAGGCATCCTTCTCCAGCGTTAGTTCCTGTAAACATTCCTCGCATTCCAGCTGCTCATGGAATCCTCAGGAACTTCTTCAGTTTGGGTGTTAACGGCTGGAGGGTAAGATCTCTGAATACCTCCCCGTCAGGGCCGCACGGTAGAAACTCGTCTTCGGCCTGCGCTTCAATAATGACTAAGGATTGCATCAATAATTACTTATGCGTTGTCTTTATGATGTATGATCCGCATTGCGCTTAACTAACGTTTTTCTTTTGCTCTTTTAGGCATTCAAGTTGTCCGCTCGATCAGTACATATGTCCATTTAAAGCTAAATTTATGTCATAGTCTTCTAAATACTTTATTGAAATTTGTTGTTTGTTTGTGGAAAATTTGTAAACATGAAAGCATCGGTGGAATTATCAACCCTCACATGTAACTATAGTTTAGAATGGAAGGACGAAATATGAACTCAAACATTATAGTTGAGAGCGTAGAGCAGTAAACATTATAGCCTGCTTTATTTCTTGCTGTACTTTATCCTGATTTGCTTTTTTATACCCATCGCAGAAGCATGGGGAATACATTCATTGTAAGTCGTTGTTCACTCACAACGTTTACAACATCCACACGGAGGCTTTAGAGACCCTCAAAGTATTATGTGTTTTCTATTATCATCAAGAAATTCTGAACCCATTCAAGCATGTCCTTCTGTCTACCTGTCTGTGGTGAAAATTTTCCTATCTGCAAAAATGAGGCTATCGACTTTAAATTTCGAATTAAGTTTGGTAGCTTTTGCATGCATGAGGGTGGCTGTACAATACCAGGCGGACTGCGAACGCCATTGTTTTTCAAAAGAAATAAAAAATTGGTTTTTTGCTCGTTACTCATAAATTACAGGAGATAGATCTATAAAGCATTGGACGCATATTCCATGGGCGATGCTGTAGTACCTGTACGAAAATGAAAAAATTGAACGTGCCTACCCAGTATTATAGTGTATCAAAATTGAACTTTTTTTTCAATATGCTTATGACATGCAGTGTCAAGCTTCACAAATCCCATAAAATACATAAGTTCTTAGCCAACCGGCACCCATCTGTTCATCCGTCCATCTGTTCGTCTGCGCGACTGTGTATTATCTGAAATTGAAGACATCACCTATAAACTTGCAAAAGGATTCGAAAATGACCAAAAGTTTACAAACAGAGCTTTAACGCTAAAACATTTGTGCAACAGTAACTATGAACAATTTTGCTTTTCGTGTGTTTGGTTTGTTACTTGTAAAGTACAGCAAACACACAATCTAAATTTTTTTTTTTTATTCTGAAAATAGGAAAAAGCAACCGCACCCAGCCAATGTTGCAGAGCATTAAAATTTACTTCCTTTCCTTTTTTTTAGTCTTTTTGAAAAGAACGTTAAAGGGTATAAAAGATTCGGTCACGACCAAATACAATTTCCCTAATTATTATTGAATATAAATTTTTCTTTTTCAATTTTACCTGCAAGTAGCCACCGTCGCAATGCGTGGCGTTTAGTAAATTTCCGACTTTAAACTTTTTGAAGCGTAAACGCAAGACGAAGTCGCGTGGCGCTCCTTTCAGTGTACGAAAGCGATACCAGCAAATTAAGGGACGCCCCACATTCTGATTCGTTAGTTCCGGTGAACTAACGTCTTCAAAAATATCGACCGTTTTATTGCACTGATCTTTGGTTACATCCGATGCGCCACCACCACCTAAAAGAAAGAAATAAATAAAATATCAAATGTTAGCGAACGTGTTGTCAATGTTTTCGTATTTAAGTAACACCTAATGCATACACGGCAGACACTTGAATTCACGAAGAATAAGATATTTAAGAGCTAAGAGATTCATATTTAAAATATGCCTATCTAGAGAAAGAGGAATGAAATGAAAGGTAGAAATTAAAAGCTGGGTTTCATAAATGTCTTCAACCTTCGATTTCGGAATAATAATATGTTTTTCATGTATTTTGTATACGTACACATACATGCACATATTACATGACTTGATCAATTCTGATGTGCGAGCTGACCAAAAATGTTCGTGCAGCTCTTTTATTTCTAGGTTCAACGAATGAATATTTGGGAAAACTAATATTATTCTGTGCTAGAGGGAAACAAAGTATTAAGACAAATATCCAACAATAAATTTGGAAAATATCTTGATCAATAAATGGCATTAAAAGTTGCCATAAGGAACTTACCCTTCTTGCTCTCATATCGTTCCTAACTGACTTATACCACGCGATTCCCTATTAAAAGCCTGTAATTGGCTAGTAATTACTGATCTATTTGTTTCCCCACACCATTCCATCCTACCGTTTCGTTTTGCTAGATTATTTTTCGAAGGAGCTGACTACTAAAAAATATTGCTAATATGAATCTCTTTGCTGGAGGTTTTTTTGCCAGAATCTGTGAAAGAGAGAATCGTACATCTTACACCTTTATTAAACACAGAGTCTCGACTAACAATTCAATGGTAGTGAGTTCGAATCTCAAATGTGGTAGAGTTTTTAATAAAGCCGATAGCCTTAGATGCTAGTGCTTTAAGACTTTAATCTTAGAATTTATTCTCTGGCTAATTTAATAATAATAATAAACGCTTTTAATTCCTTGGCACGAATACGAATAGATTTCGAAGTGGCTTAATCATTTTTCCATTAAATGCTCGTCTCAATGAGTCTTTGCTAACATCTTTCTTGTTTGCAAATCCTTCTAAACAAACACAAGCATATTCTGAAGAAGTCTGTTAGTATGTACAAGAAACTATAAATTAGGCATTTGACCATCCTGTAGGACCACCTTGCAAACGGGCAGTCTTTGCTAAATGCAGAGTTCGATATGTCAAAGTAAACATTTCTTCGATGTGATGAATATTTTCCACATTTTCTAGAGAGGTTCCCAAGCATCGATTAAGGCGATAAAAAAAAATTATTTTATTTTTGGAATCGAGTTTTAGCCAAAAATCGTTAAAACTTATTTATAAGATTTATTTATAACATTTTGTTAAATTCGTTACAATCTTTAAAAAGAAAGTTAAATGAAAATTCTATGCAAAATGAACGATGAAAACATAAAATTAGAAATACATTTTTTTTTTTTTGTTAGCAAATCATCACTAATAAACTCCAACAATAGCCAGATAGACAGAAAATTACGAGAATCGAGAGAAGATGAAGAAAAGAGGAAGAGAAAAAAAAAATTGAAAACCATAGCAGCGGTTTAGACTTAACAATAAAACATGACTGTCACGTTTTACGTCTTTGCATGTGTATATATATATATATATGTGTGTGTGTGTGTGTGTGTGTGTGTGTGATTTAGAAGAAAGAGCACACATAACTTCCCGCTATTGTCCTGTCTTGATTAAAAACTTTTAACTAACGTTACGGAAAGTAAACGAAAACAGAACGAATTTGAGATTTAACTTAGATCGACTTTTGTGCACCTCTCAGCGAAGACAGAATATAATCAAAATATTCGAATGATTTTGTAAAGCAACACAATCACAACTACTTATGAAGTGAAACAATGCATGCGAATATGTATGTGTGTATGCATGAAACGATGTTTCAATTCGACATCCTTCCCGCACTGTTTAAGTTGAACTTGAAAAATCACTTTCAGGTTATTAAAGGTTGCCGGAAAGGTACCGGAAGTGCAAAAGGGTTAATTTTTCTATTTTTTTTTATAATTTTTTTATTTGAGCGAAATGCATTTCATTTCGATGTTTCATTTGAAATTCGGTCCTGAACCGAACCATGATTTATGCATGGTATTCTCTATGCGAAATCGCGGTTAATTATAAGTCAAACAGATAGATAATCTTGGTTAAAAAGAGATTAGTTTTTATTCATTTTAAGAGGTTACAAAACGACAGAAAAACCTGATATTTTCGTAAATCTCGTTGCCGGAGATGCAATGAAGAGACGAGGACAAAGATAATGGCGAAGTAAAATGGTAAAGCTTACACATCAACAACGCTATCAAATGCTGAAGTCGTAAAATTTACTTAGACCCCCTTTTTGCTTTGCTAACGTTCCTCGTCGCCTTTTTGGTTTTTCTTCAAGTGTTGAATTTATGCTTAAAATCTGTGAAAACTAAGAAATGAGGAAATAGGGAAAAACGCGAAAAACCACAAATTTATTAAAACTACCAGCCAGACAATATTACACATTTAAAATTCTGTGTATGTATGTGTCTGTATGTGTATGTGTGTGTGTGTGTGTGTGTGTGTGTGTGTATGAAAGGCAAAACCGAAAGCAAAAAAAAAAAAAAAGACTAACTAACAGAACCGAATACATGCGACATGATATTACCTACCAACTCATGTTGAAGTTTTACTTGGTTTCGTTTCTACAACTTTTTTTTGTTTTTTGTTTTATAACAAAGAGACAAACTTCCTCATCAGGGAGTTTTTCTTTTTCGTATGTTTTATTGCACCTTTTTTTTTTCATTTTTTTGCTTTCATTCAAAGTTTTCATTAAAAAGGCGTTAATGTGACTTTTGACAAAATTCTACACAATAGCTTTATGTCGCTCTAGATTCGTGTCTACATTAAAGCGACAAAAGAGAAAATAACCATAAACAGGAATGAAAAAACTGAAAACCAAAATAAGGACACTTTCGGTGAGTCCATCATTATTTAAATTGTTTAAAGAGACTTGTATTCTTCTCTAAGCTTCAACTCTACCAAAGTATTTTCCGTTCAAAACAAACAGAAACAAGAGCGGTTTTCTTTAGCTTTTACGTGTGTAATCAACAACTATTTCGCTTTGTAGAATTCACTAGTGTGCATATTATAGTTACAGTATACTACTGTTAAGCTTGTCTGTCTATATGTCCGTTTTTTGTTAGCATGTCTGCAAAAAGTTAAGTTTTTACAGAAAATTAAAATTTAGTTCATACATTTCTAGCTTAAGTTCTTAGAGGAGATTTAAAAATATATTCGATTTGTGTGTATGAAAGCAGAAAACTTCAATGCATTTTCGATGCTTTGCGACCACTTCTGAAGATTACTACAACATATTGTTTGTCTCATCATTGTCGATGGTGTGTATGCATATCTTTGACCTAATGCCGGCTACGACTTTTTATACCGTTATAGTACTTGCGAAAACAAATGTCCGTCCGTCTGTCTATATATTTGCCTGTGTTCAACACAGAGTTTACTTTGGTCGCAGCGAAGGTGCGTGCTTAATCGGGGAAAGGCACATACCCACCAAAAAACTGGTTAGAGCATCAGACGAAAAATTATTTTTTAACATAGATTTTAAGAAATTTTAAGAATTTTGAAATTGACAAATGAACGTAAAAGAAAAATTCATCATCTTTTCACAATAAGCAGGTCTGATTAAAATCACTTTTACGTGATTGTGGTTAAAACTACTGACAATAGAATAAAACTTTAAATTTTTAGGCTCTCTTGAGATTTCTTACGGCTTACAAGTTACTTAGCCCAAATTCGCTCCATTTTTACCCTTGATAGGTACGAGTTGGAGGAAAGTGCTGTTTTAAAGCTTTATCGGGAGTTTAACGCATGAGCATGGGGTGTAGAATGGGACTAAGCCGACTCGGAAAAAGCATGTGTTCTGAAACGGTACCAGCGGTATATTAAGCTTTGTGCGACTGTGTGTAACAAACTGAAGCAGTTGAGGACAACCCACTTTTTCTTATACCGATTGATTCAGAATCCCTTTCTGAACCGCCCAAAGCTTGTCTGTCCGCCTAACCATCTCCTTTCCCTGCACTCGTGAAATTGAATGCATCGACATGTTTGTGCGTAAGGACGACCGCTTTGAAAATCCCATGTAATACCTTAACTTAAGAAGCGAAAAAATGAATAACTGCGTTAAGCGCAATGGTGTAGGATATTGAATGGCGCACCGTCGCCCATTAAAGCGTTTTCACTTGTTAGTATTTATTTATTGATGGCCGACGGTTTGCAAAGATGAATATAGTTTTTAAATCCTCATCTCGGAAGGTTAGATATATTAAACTGAGAATGCAATTCAATCGCTAAATTTCTTTGTCTTATTGAGATAGAGCAGAAAATAATTTACTTAAATTCTTAGGATCTAATTTTCGAAATCAAAACATTAATTGCTTCATCATTGGCATCTGGTATACAGATATGGCTGCTTTCCCCGCGTAGTGTAACTCTTACGGGCAAGAACAGATTTAACTTTCGTTTAAGTGAAGCTCCTTTCATGCTAAGATGTTAAGGCAATTTTTGAATATCTTGAGCTTGCAATGTCTTTTTAAGATACGTCCTATTTATGTAAAATGGACGACTTTACAACTACTTACTTTTTCAATTTATAGCATTCTAAGATTAGATATTGTGTCTTACGCTTTCTTATAAATAAAGTCATTTTGCCTCATAGAGAAGCGCTTGACGCCTTATGCCCGTTAATTAAGTTGAATTTAGTAGTTACGTTGCTATTTAATGCGCAAGTAATTCTCCATTGAATGACGATAACATAAGCTTTTCATAATCGTTCAACCCTAACAGAAGTTCCTCCTTTCAGACAAATGAATTACATTTTTTGTTATAATAAAATAACTAATGACAATAATTTCCACCAGAATTATTATGAATGACGATAATGTGACATCAAAAGATTAATAGCAAATCTAATAAAAACTCAACCATGTTGCCTAGGGTGGCAGCTGGTAGATAATTGGATAGCGTAAGTCCACACATATACATG